AACCACACCCACTGCCTGGAGTCCATTCTGACTCACAGCGCCCCTAGAGGACAGAGTGGAACTGCCCACAGGGTCTCCAAGGCTGTCAATCTTCATGGAAGCAAAGCCCAAATCAAACCCACTGCTGTGGAGTCAATTCTGACTCATAGTGACCCTCACTGGGTTTCTAAGACTGTAAATCTTTACAGAACTAGATTGCCCCATCTTCCTCCCATGGAGTGGCTGGTGGGTCTGAACTGCTAACCTTCTGGTTAGTGGTCAAATGCCTCACCAACTCTGCCACCAGAGTTCCTTTGTGGAAGTAAAGCCCAGATCGAATCCACTGCCTTCGAAATCCTGCGTAGAGTGCATAGACTGGGAGGACAGTGTGGAACAAAACTCCAAATAATAATAATAATAAGAAGAAGAAGAAGAAGAAGAAGAAGAAGAAGAAGAGGAAGAGGAAGAAGAAAAGACCAAGTTTGCTGGTCTGATAGAGCCTTGTGAGACCCCCGAGACTATGGCCCCTAGTTACCCTTCAGGTCTGGAACTGAACTGACTCCTATGGCTTCTAGCTGAACAATAGACAGGCATATGGGGTGAACATTGACATCAGGTAGATACACTCCTTGGAGGTATCAATTGTGGGAGAACAGAAGGGCACTGTTTGCACAGGGAGACAGCTGGGGGGCGGGACGGGACTGCATGGGAGGGAAGGACAGGGAAGAGGTAACCACAGGGAGGCAGTGGGGAGAGAGCTGTTACACGGTGGGGAATGGCAGTCAATGTCATGAAACAACATGTGTATGAACTGCTGTGTGGAAAATGAGTTTGCTCTGTCAGTTTTCACCCAAATCACAATAATAATAAAAATAATAATAAAAAGACCCACCCTGCACTGATAGGGCTCATTTCCATAACAAAAGAAACCTCTTTCCATGGGACCTCATTTACTGTTATGGGGTGAGGATTTAAAGAACATTTGAGGACAGAGGACCACCCATAAAGATGACTCTGTGTTAAAATAATAGTAATCAACTCTTCAATTCATTAATTCATATTATTTCAACAAATGTAAAATCATAGATCAAGAGGGTTTGCAGACACCAGGGGTATTTTAATGGAAATAAGAGAAGGAAGTCAACCAGACAGCCACACTTACCCTGGGGCTCCTGGGTCTGGAGTCTCGCTGGCGTCAGCAACATAGACCATAGCACCACCACCCCCAGGGCACCCATCAAGCTGCCTGCAAGACGGGAACAACTGGAAAGACAGAAAATGTCACAGACACACATTAAACCCAAACACATCCCTGAGGAGTCAATCCAGAATCATGACCATTGTATGTGGCAAGGTGGAATTGCTGCATAGTTTCTAGGCTGTAATCTACAGTGAAGAATAGTGAATGTACCATGGACTTCAAAGTGGGAGCTCTGGTGGTGTAGTGTGTAAGGCATCTGACTGCTAACCAGAAGGCTGGCGGTTCAAACCCACCACCCACTCCTCGGAAGGAAGATTAGGCAATCTACTTCCATGAAGACACCACCTCGGAAACCCAAGGAGGGGTCGCTATGATTCGGTAATGACTGGACAGCATTGAGTTTGGTTTTTGGTTGGATTGCAAAAGAGCAAGCTAATTTGTCTTGGAGGAAATGAAGCCAGAATGCTTCTTAGAAGCGAGAATGGCCAGACTTGGTCTCACCTACTTTGGTCATGTTGTCAAAAGAGACCATTTCCTGGAGAAGGATGTCATGCTTGGTGAGGTGGAGGGTGGATGAAAGAGGGGAAGGCCCTCAATGAGATGGATTGAGACAGTGGCTGCAATGATGGGATCAAGTCTAGCAAGGATCGTGAGACTGGGGCAGGACTGGGCGGTGTTTCGCTCTGTTGTACACAGGGTCATATAGGTTGGAATCAACTCTGTGGCTTCTAACAACAACAATCTTTATGGGAGCAGACTGCCAAGTCTTTCAACTGCAGATCCACTCACTGGTGGGTTTCAACAAATGACCTTTCGATTAACAGCCGAGTGCTTAACCACTGCACCACCAGGGCTCCTTCAGACACACGTGAAATCAAACCCTACCCAGTGCTGTGAAGTCCACTCCAACTCCTAGCAAACCTGTGAGACACAGTAGAACTGCCCCCCAGGGTGTCCAAGGCTGTCAGTCTTCACGGGAGCAAAGCCCAAACCAAACCCACTGGAAGCAAAGCCACAACCCAAACCACTGGAAGCAAAGCCCAAACCAAAC